GTGGGGTTTTCAAGGCAAGAGATGTTCAGAGGTGGTTTGCTATTGCCTGCCACAGTGTCGTGACCCTGGTATTCCTTGGAGGTCTCCCATCCAAATACTAGCCAGGACTGACCCTGCTTAGCTTCTGAGATCTGACAAGATCAGGCTAGCCTGGGCTATCCAGGTCAAGCCTACAGTAGTGGTTACTTATGAGTAAATATACATAAGATTGAGCTGTGTGTCTTTCCTGCAAGTGTATCCTGTTTCTAATTCTCTTTGTCTCAAGCTTTGCAGCAAATGGCTTGGTAAGGAGTTCTTGAGAATGGCTGTTTTTTAAGTTGACTGTCTTGCGAGTGCCTGTTTGGGCATGGAATCAGAGTCCTGCACCCAAGCATTCTCCCAGACCCGAGTATATTTGGACCATATTCGGAGCCGAGTCACACCAGGGAGTGCAGATGTACATGGAACTGGGAAGCGCGACTACCTGGTGGATGCAGCGAAGCAGATCCGTTTGGCTTTGGAGCGGGATGTGAGCGAGAACTATGAAGAGGCATTCAATCACTACAAGAATGGCGTGGATGTGCTGCTCAGTGGGATTCAGGGTATGATGGGAGAGGAGGACAAGGGAGGGGAAGTTGTGAAAGGTGCAGGAACCCTGGGGAAAGTGGATCTCTTGGAACCAGGCATCGTGTTTGGTCAGACTTGTAAAAGGCTAGTTGCTTGTGGCCAATTTCTTCTGTTGCTTTAAACCACAAATGACTAACATAAATGTGTAAGCATGTTAGCTAGTATGTTTTTTGTGGGCTAGCAACTTTTATGGATGTATTTGTATGTCTGTGCATGGCCATAAAACCAGACTGCAAATAGGGAGACTACCCCAGGTAGATTATGTTAAGAGTTCAGGTGCACAAAGATTGGCATCATGCTGACTGTATATAAATCTACTTGGTAGTCTCTCTCATTCCTTTCAAAGCAACTAATTTCCCCAGGAAGTACAGCATTTGTGGAACAGATTTGTGATACTGCTTGGATCAGAATGCATCTCTGTGATCGCATACAAGTGATTGGACAGTCATGTTTTAGTAACAATTTCTGTGTGTGGTGGGGTCGATGCTGTGCTTAACTGACGCAAGAAAGGAGCAGGACAAGGTGAACAGATTGTCATTATTTTCCCGTTATGACATAAAGCAAAGCAATCATGATAGCAGTTTAGGGTGATGAGGGGTTAAAATGCGGAGAGAGCAAATAGTGTGACTCTCATCTGAAGCACGAAGGTATGGTAATCTTGAAGTGAGCTGTACACTGCTAGGTGTTTGTCAGGACAGGATATAGTTAAAATGCGGAGAGAGCAAATAGTGTGAAGTGAGCTGTACAGTGTTAGGTGTTTGTCAGGACAGGATATGCCAGAAGGAATACAGAAAATTCACAAAGCATTTATTACAGAATTCAACTTTCTTAAGTTTTTAAATTTCATGTAGGGGATCTGCTGTGCAGTAAGAAGTGGATATAGTCCATTCCTCCAGTTCAGGACTCTGCCACCTCATTTTTCTGCATATGTGGACCAAGTCCTTGACCCTTCCCACGTGACTAGTAAATCCAGAGTAAACTTTGCAAACAGAGCAAGAATTACAGCATGTGTGCATTATAAGAGATATATACAAATATGCTCAGTTTGCATAATTATCACAGATGTCAGCTTTTTTGTCACACAGATTTTAAAATGCCCCAGTTCAGAGCTTAAATATTAATTACAGATTATATATTGCCCTGATTAGCAGGCAAGAATGTTATGATTTTGGGAGAAACTGGGGATTAAGGGAAAAACTCCATAGGGCTAATGATTAATACATACAACTCCTGCACAGTGGATCCGAACAAGGAGCGCCGTGAAGCTGTGAAGCGCAAGATTACACAGTACTTGAAACGTGCTGAGGAGATATTCAACTGCCACCTACAACGGAATTTGGGGAATGGAAGTTCCACTAATACGGTGAGAAAAGAGTGAGGGCTCTGTGTACGCAGATTGGTATATTTGTCCAATAACAGAGTCTGCATCCACCAAATGCAGACACACCAGTAAGATTATTCCAGAGACCAGGCAAAGAAGGGAGACCAACTTCAATGTACAACCTGCGCAAACCCCCCCCAAAGGTCTACAAAAATAAAAGACCTATGGTAGAAGAATCCAAACTCCAGTTGACCACTCCCAGAAACTTATTTTTTGTTGCTTTAGTGCTTTTAAATTATCCACCACCTTTCTATGCTGAGTTTTAATGCTATTTGCTGTTTTCACATGTGATTTTAAGGTATTTTATCAGATCTACTGTTTACTGCCTCTATTTTTAACATGTTGATTTTTATTATTTTGGTATTTATTGCTCATGTTAGCAACCATGCTCCCCTAGAGATAGGACTGCAACTAAATAAAAATGAACAGTGCCTGGCAAAAGCACAGAAATAAAATAATTGCCAGGTAGGGCTCTCGAGGTCAGAAGGCAAGCCTTCAGTGCTAACTTAGCAAAGATCCCTGTGTCACCTGTATGGGTACTACCACTCGCCTCTGTTATTCACATATCCCTAATTTCTCCTTGACGTATAATTCATAGTGCTTTAACAACCTGAATCTTGGAAGCAAAATTAAAGAACACTGAAAATGCAAACATTGCACATTTTCTGTAGTTTGCCAAATACAGCCTGAATTTCTGAGCGCAGAATTTGGATTTCCTTGGTATAAAGTGTAGTCAGTCCTAGTAGATTTCCTTTGGTGGAATTGACAAACACTGGTTTTCCCTGTGTACACTTCAGATTAAATGGTAAAGTAGAAGGTATTGCATACACAAGCAATTGCACTGCAGTTTGTGACAAAGGCTGATATTCCCCACCCCCTCTATTTGTATTAAAATGTCTAACAATACAGTTCACTCTGCACTTCTTCCCCCCATGAGAGTTTATCAACCAGGTTTCTTATTAACAGGGTTACAGCAGCCTTCGCTTTCGGCCAATTAGGACACTCAGTGCACCAGTGGAGAACCTGAGGAACTGTAAAGTTGTCGGAGTAATTGACAAGGTAACTATTTGCTTCTGAAACATCTAGCTTGGGCTGACAGGTAGTGTTCTAGAAGGATAGCCAGAATAGTCTGTTGTAACAAAGAATCTTGAGGCACCCTAACAACCAGCACATCTGTTGTGGCTTATATGTGCATCTGAATGACCCCGTGCATCTGATGAAATTGTCATCGGTATACAAAAACTCCCACAGCAATAAATGAATTATCTTCTAAATTGCTACAGGACTGTTTATCGTTAGTGATGGCACTGTTTATATGTGCTTTTGTGCTACTTGCAGGTGCAGATAGTGCAGGATCCAGCAACTGGAGGGACCTTTATACTGAAGGTATGTACCTCTTCTTTCTCTTATCTTCCTTCCATTGGCAATGCTAGACACGGAGTTTCCACAGAGCCTGATATGTCAGTTCAAGAGGCACTGTGGCCACAGGTAAGGCGCAATATATATTGTGGGTAATGTGAGCTGGACAGTTAATGAGCACAGTAACCACCCATTGTGGGTAGCCGTGTTGGTCTGAAGCAGCAAAACAAAGTTGTATTCAATAATAAAATAAAAAATAAAAACTTTATTGGTCTTAAAGGTGCCACTGGACTTAAACTTTGTTCCACCCATTGTGTATGTTTACCATACTCGTGGAGCATATGCACATCATCTGCCCACAACAAAGGTTGGTCTTAAAGGTGCCACTGGACTCATCTGCCCACAACAAAGAAATTGTACACATTGTCTGGCTGTGCTACATCAGTCCTCAGGAAATGAGCACAATGGCAATTATTATGCCTAATAACTGTTCAACTCATATTATCTTCAAAATATACATACAAGAGAGAATTCACAAATTGCACAGTTCTTGGGTTCCAGGAACCCCCTTGGATAGTGTCCTAGAAGACCAGAGCTTGGGAATGTTACTGCTAGGTGAAATATATAACCTGGATGCCACTCGCACATAGAGGAGACTGTGGGAGTCTCGTGTTCACATTATTTGATCTATTGTGGTGGATCTCGTGGTATGTTAAGCATTCTTAAATCAGCCAAGAAATAATGATGCCATAAAAAGAGTCCCGTCCCCCCCGGTCATGGGGGATCTGTTACAGGATTTTCCAGGTTTTTTTAACTGCTAAAAAGAAGCCATAGGAATATAAGTCTGGGAATGCAGGAATCCCTTTCTTATTACACTGTTTTCCTGATAGAATTTACGCCCCTTCCCACAAGCTGCTACTGGGTTTGGGTGTGTGTGCAGCGGGAGACCCGCAACTCTTCATATTTTTGGGTTCTTACCTCCGTTTGGTCTAGCAGATTCAGATAACTTATTGTTAGCTAGTCGTTCCCTCAGAAATTAGGCAGTGATCCAGTCTTTCTGAGACAATGCCACATATACTTGCTCATGCGTGAAATCTCTCTCCCCCATACCAGACAGACTGAGGGTATCCCTCAATCATCAGAGCTCCTCAGGTAAAAATTCTCCGTTTCAGCCTCTTCCTCTGTATAGAACTTATGCAAACTTTGCTGGCTGCTTATAGTGCCTGGCAGTCTACATTCCCTTATAACCACATAATCTGATGTGATTCCCAATCTGTTCCTCTTCCCTCCTCTTTTCAGTGAGTCCCAGTGGCTGCTGCTTACCCATCTATGTCTCTCCCCCCCCCGCCCTCTGAACTATTCATCAGCTCCCTCTTGCTGCTGCTAGGGTCTGTTGCTTGGCCTTTCTTGCCTCTCTATGCCATGGCTTCCCCTGGCTGTTTCTGAGCAGCAGAAGCACATATACTGCAAAGGCATGCTGGGAGACAAGAGACAGGCCCTGGCTTTGTGGATTTCACTATTGAAAGGGTGGCCCTAAACACTCACCTGCACACAAGATTAGAGGTAGTTCATAGTGATACTTATCCTGTGGTCACAGGTGAGTTCTGGGAAAATTCCATAGCATTAGTTAACCTCTGTAAAAGGTAAAGGTTCCCTTGCTCGAAAGCCAGTCGAATCCGACTCTAGGGTTGCGGTGCTCATCTCCGTTTCAAAGCTGAAGAGCCAGCGCTGTCTGAAGACATTTCCGTGGTCATGTGGCCGGCATGACTAAACACCAAGTCGCACGGAACGCTGTTACCTTCCCACTGAAATGGTACCTATTTATCTACTTGCAATTTCTTGCTTTCGAACTGCTAGGTTGGCAGGAGCTGGAACTAGAGACAGGAGCTCACTCCGTTATGCAGCACACTCGGGTCTCGAACTGCTGAACTACCAACCTTCCACAGCCTGCAGTTCAGCATCCACAGAATCCACCTACCTCTGATGCAAATGCTGGACAAGCATCCAGCCAGGTAGCCACTGTATAGACCCTGGTTCTGTATTCTGTTTCAGAGCCTCCCCAAATCCCATGTAGAGACCCGTGGAAGACAGACAATCATCCCTCATGGAATCCCATTCATGGCTGAATTGTTGCGCTACTATGTGAGTGAAGACTCTATCTTCCTTCTCTTGGAACATGTGAAAGGTAAGCATGCCTTATACTCATTTCCCTCTTCCAGTATCATCTGGTATAGATTTTGTGGTTATTCAGGGCCAATTTGGATTGTTCTGCACAAGAGATTCAGTTTAAAAGGTCATGTCCACCAGATTGGGCTTGGGGACCCTAACACAAAGGGTGCACTGGGGACTTTGGAACCAGACCATTGATAGACCAAGAGAAAAGAGTGGAAGATGGAAACTGCATGCAGAGGAACACAGAATTACTTATGTGACTCAGCTTCACGGTTAAGTCTAGTATATAGTACTGATTAGATCCTTAAAACAGGGGAAAGATCCAACTGAGAGAATAATGAAACTTTAAAATAATTTCAGGGAACTCAGGCTGTTGGCTTTCCTATGCTGGCCTATGCATGGAGCAAATAGATGTCTGAAGCAGTTGCCACTCTGTTCCCAACTCCTGTAACAAAGTGTTTGGCTCCCTGCAGTTCAGTTCCAGTATTACATTCATGTACTCCTGTCTTAATGTAACAAGTACAGAACTGGAAATAATCAGGTCACAAAGATCCAGTACTTTTTTGGTTAAAAAAAAAGTGCCTGTAATATAACAGGTTGCATTGATTTCCACCAATTCCCCCCCCCCTCAGGTATTGGGAGGGCCCTTCCAAAAGGTGCTGGTACTCAGTACCAGCGAGTACCACCATAAAAAAGCCTTGCAAAGATTATAGATGCTAATCCAATGAACAGAACTTTAAGATCTTCCCAAAAGGAGCTCTGCAAGTTACTTGCAAAGATTATAGATGCTAATCCAATGAGCAGATCTTCCCAAAAGGAGCTCTGCAAGTGATGGAACTGTAATATAACATCAGAACCGGACAGTACAGTTGATGTTTCCTTGTCTAGTGCTGCACCCTACCATTTGTATGTAAGATTATAGTAATGCCTGCAATCAGTTCATTAGGTGTATTTTTATTTGCATCAATGCCTGCATTTTTAACCTGGTGGTGGAGACTCTTGGCCATGCATCTGTCTCAGCTAAACCTACCCAATGAGATAGTTGGGATGATATAATGGTGGGAGGGATGAGAGGATCAAGTACGTCACACTGAGAGCTCCTTGGAGGAAGGTGGAATGGGATAGAGAGTAGAGATAAGGTGTAAGGCATAAGACATCACTGGTAGGACCTACAGCCATCACTTTTCTCCTTTCCATTTCCCATAGGAGGTACTCTCTGGTCCCATCTTCACTCACAGTACCGTACCTCCAGTTGCTCCAGTATATTACATCCAAAGTCCAGCTTGGCTTTGGAGTATGCCAGTGAAGAAGGGCTCAAAGGAAGCCTGCAAGGAGTTGATTCTAGGTCAAGGCAGAGTTGCAACAGCACTGGGCAGACAACAACTAGTATAAATCACCACACATCCAGATACGCTGAACAGTCGCCACCTCAGGAACAGTCACGCGACCACACACATGCCAGACCCAGTAATGATTATAGGTGGCATATGAGACCTGCCGTTGGAGGAAATACTGTTGGGGGGAAGAATTTAAGTGTGACACACAATTTAGCTGGTGCTGCAAAATCTACTATCAAGCCAGTGGGCCAGGGACATAGACTCTTGGTCAACAAGGGGCTAGCTTTGCTGTCACATGACTCATTTTGCAGCTCTGTACCGGAGAGAGAGACTTCTCAGCAAGACCCAAAACAATCAACGGGTGAGAGAGCTTCTGTTCCTGTCCAAAAGGCAGCAAAAGGAAACAACTTGTCAAAGACAGAAACTCCTTGCCGCCGCATGCCTTGGCTTATACATTCCCCAGCAACTCTTCCGAGGCAAAAGCAGGCATGCTCTGGAATTCTCTCACAGAATTACTGCAGTCTGGACAACCAGTGGAGTGCAGCAGAAGTGAAAAAAGGGGGAAGTCATGCCCAGGAAGAATTGGTTCCTGACAAGGAACAGCACAAACAGCCATCCCCAGGGCCATATGACCCAAGAGCATGTTGGGCTTCCAGAAAGAATGGCCCTGGAGCCTGGGGCATCAATGAGGATCAGATTCAGCTCTGGGCAGCAGAACTGCTTTTGGCTCTGGAGGGTCTCCATCAACAAGGGGTGTTTTGCCAGGATCTCAACCCACGGAACCTACTTCTGGATGGCTCTGGTAAGCTTTCTCTTGCGAAGGAGACAGAGAATAATTTTAGGCCTTCGTCTTGGATCACTGATTGATTTCTGAAGGTTTGGCTTCATTGAAAGCAGTCCTCTTCCCTATTCTTGAGTTTTGCAGCATGGCAGGAAGACAGCAGTTTCCATTATGCCATAGTTTGCGCAGATTATTACTAAAGTTACTTAGGGTGCATTTGTCCAGACATGGCCCCATTTTGCTAACTCCAGTGTATCAAGACAGTTATACCCAATCCCTACAGTACATGAATGGGACAGAAGCCACTTGAGGCACAACTGCTTCCAAGGCAATTCTGGCAGCCTCTGAAGGACCCAACATGATGTAGTTATTTCTCATGGTCAGCACCTGTTCACATAAGGCATGAATTGGGCATTATGTTTCAGTATCCGTTGCAGTACCTGTGTCTTTCGTCCTTCCTATAGGGGTTCTTAAATAGACAGCATCTAGCATTTAATGAAGCATGCAACACATGGAACTGAACACGTGGAACTAGAGCCAGTTTGAGATTGGCAAAACAGGATTTGTCACAGTTTTTGACTGGGGGAGTTCCCCCAGCATTTTATAACTTCCTTTCCCCCCTTAATGTGTACTCCAGAACTTCACCTTGCCTTTCCCCCCTCTTTTCCCTATAAAACCAAGTTCTCTTGTTCCTTCTAATTTTCCTCTGAAACTGTAGTCCTACTCCTGGGTAGGAAGTTTCCAGAGCTTGTGAAAATGTTACTCCTCAATTTTTTTCCTTTGTCAGGCAAAAGCATCCACCACCACCACCACAGCTTTCTCTGCAGAATAGCAGAAATGCAAGAGACTCCTGATACCTGCTGTACTACTAAGATTTGCATTCACCTCTTTCAATCTCATAGGCCATATCCGTCTCACATACTTTGGCCACTGGACTGAAGTAGAGCCGCAGTGTTGCAGCCAAGCACTGGAAGAATTGTACTGTGCTCCAGGTAAGGGAGAGAGCACTTGCTTTTGACTTTGCAAGTATCCCCACAATGAAATGCCGAGGTCCACCATTCCTTAGGAATAGTCCTTTTAGAGGATTGGCCTAGGCTGTTAGAGAGGCAGAAGGAAAATGAGGGACTGTAGGCGTTCTCATTTTTTTAAACATCCTTGTAACCCTGGTTCCTTTATTCTGCAGAGGTGGGTGGAATTTCTGAGCTTACAGAAGTCTGTGACTGGTGGAGTTTTGGGGCACTTCTCTATGAGTTACTGAGTGAAACGGTGAGTAGCTTAGAATCTGGAGCCATCAAATTCTAGGCAACCAGAAAAGCTAACGGAGAAGGGTCATGGTAGGTCCAGGCAGGGCCGGCCCGAAGTCTTTTTGCACCCAAGGCAGGGCTACCTTTTGGCGCCCCCACCAATTATGGGGTTGCCAACCTCCAGGCAGGGCCTGGAGAGAAGGAAGTCCAGCTGCTGAGTGCATATGACACACACACACACAGAGTGGAACATACTACCTCGGGAGGTGGTGGTGGATGCTCCTTGCCAGCTGGCTGGTGGGCTCCTCCACCGCCCCCCTCAGTCCCCCGGGGGAAGGGGGTTCACAGGTCCCCGGCTCCTTCGCAGCTCTGTGCCCCATCTCCTGCCCTGGCCCCTGCTGGCACAGCTTACAATCGGCTGGCTCCGGACCTTCCTCCCCCACTAGCCGGCACAGGGAGCATGCTGGGTTCGCCCTCCCCCCCGCCTTCTCATTCGGCCCCTTCGGAGGGCGCGGCCAGGCCGACCGTCCCATTTTGTGCCATGGGCTGCTGCTGGAGGCTGGCCAAAGGTGGTAGGCCCGCAGTGCTCCTCTTGGGCGCCCCCAGCTCAGCAGCTGCTGCATGGAGGCTGCTGGGGGGAGGGGGAGCTTCTGCGCAGCCCCGAAAAGAGAGCTCGGCCCCTCCTCGCCTCTCTGAAAAGGGACCCTTGTGCGCCCGGCCAGGCGAAACCCAGGCCAGGCTTATCTCTGGACTCCTGGGGGCTGGGTCCTGTTTGGCGCTAGAGATGTTCACTGGCATCCCCCCTGCCGCTGCCCCCCCTCCCCACCCCACATCCTGGGTGCTGAGGTGCGAGGTGGGCCCACTGGCAGTCTCTGGGGGAAGACGGGAAGAGGCAGGACTTCTGGGAAGCGGTCACCCGGTCAGAGAAGCCAGGGAGATCATGGCTTTTGGGGGGGGCTTTGGGGGGTGGGTCCTGTTTGGCGCCCCAGGGCCGGCCTGTGCTCTAGGCGAATGCCTAGTTCGTCTAGTGGGTGAGCCGGCCCTAGGTCCAGGAGCCCCAAAATGCTGATGCACTGCATTGCAGGACTGGATTTTTCACCCTTGTTGTCAAGGGTTAACGTTAACATACTAATGTCATGGAGTGTACAAGTATTACTTTGTATGTGATAAGCTTATCTAAGCAGCACTGTTTTATCTCTAACAGTCTTTGTCCCAGAATCATCCCTCAGGGATTTATCCTCATACCCAGCTGTACCTTCCAGAAAGACTCAGCCATTCTGCTTCATCTCTTCTATCAGAGGTGAGAATCACCTTCTCAAGGGGAAGCCGACCCAGCTAGCATTAAGTGGTTGGGGGTGGGGAGAAGATAGCTTTGAAGGGGTGACTGGAAAAAACAGGAAATCTGAATTACCCTCCCCCTTCCTTACACAGCTGCTGAAGTATGATCCCAAGCAACGTTTGGGTTCTGGAAAAGACGGCGTGAAAAAGATCAAAGCACACCCTTTTTTCAGCAGTATCCAATGGAACAAGCTGGTTGCGTCCTGAAAGCTGAACAAGGGGAGGGCGTGTGTGCATGTTTCCACCCGAGTGCGGCACATGGCAAGTCTGTGGCACAGGACGAGCCAAGGCCTTCCAGGAGCTGCTGTGCATCAGCAAAAGTTCCCCAGGCTTTAAGACTTGGGTGGTGCTAGCAGTGCCGCTGCTCAACAGGAAACCTTACACAGCTGGACTGGGGCCGACATTTCCTGGCGAGTTGCTGTATTCTGCTTCCTAACTATACGGCAATAGCTGCTGCAGGGAGAACTTCTGCTCTGGAAGGGCATTTATTCTCCTCCAGTTTTACCTTTGAGGAATTCTAGTATTAATAAAGGTCCCAAGGATTCAAAAAGGCATAGGCCATGCAAGACTGATGTCTGAGGATTTTGTTTGATGCTTCCTGAATGATGCAAGCAGAGTCTCAGCATTTCTCCCTCCAAGTATTGTTGTCCCAAATGAGCCCAGTGAGGGAGGGTCCCCCCCCCCGAGCTTCTCCTTGCTTCCCTTCTCCCTTGGTTCAGGGTCACCTGTCCAGCACTTCTTTACCTCTCACTTAGCAGTACCTGCCCAATCACCTCCTCCCCTTGTCTGTTCTAATTTTACCTAGAATCAACTAGCTGCAGTACAGGCTTGATCCCTGCTAGCTTCCTGGCACATTTTGGCTAAGTACCACTAGATGGCAGCCTTGTGTCATACGCTATCAAATCCACTGCTGGTTGCTTGCAAGGGTACTTTCCCCACCCAGCTTTCTCCTCTGCAAGACTGAGTACAGAATGACTAATACTTGAAGACGGAAGATGAGCAAAAAGCTCTTCCTGTGACCTCTCCCTGTGGATCTGCCATGTTTGTTTGTGAACATTCTTAAACCAATAAAATATTTGCAGCTCAACCAGGTCCTTGTGTGGATTTTTAGAAACAGTACCAGCTGCCTTGGCTCAGGTTCCTATGACAGGCCCAACCAAACAGGCACAACTCTACAGACATAGCAGGTGGCTACCAAACCAAGGAGTTCTCTGGCATGCCACCACCAGCACATATAGTTGGTATGTGCATTGTGCATTCTCCAGTCTTCAGCTATGTTCAGGCCATTCTGTGTACATTTTGGTCCAGGATGCCACAAACTTGCCCAAGGCAGCAAAACTTAAGTGAGGCCTCAGCAGTGTCAGAGAGGGATTTCAGGCCAAGCTGTTAATCTTTCTGGAAATCACACCCAAAGAACCTTTTTTCCATCATGTGAAAGACGCTCAAGCACTTAGAAACACAATGTTTTGTAGATCCCTTTTCTCAGGTCAAACCTTTATTTCCATCCCCTTTCTTTGACTATAGCTCAGTGGCTGCTTTCACGCACATTGGATAATGTACTTTTAATGTATTTCTGTGTTAAAACAGTGAGACTACACAGAACTACTCCTTGTCCTAATGCCGCATTCCTTCTCTTTGTATAGCCTAGGTCAAAGAAGGGATTTCCCATGCCGTTTCAGTACCCATTCTCAATAATCAGCCAGTGCCTTGTAGGGTTGCCCTGGTAGCAGTCAAAGAGCAACACCTGCCCCTTTCCTTTTACTAGGCTAACCACACATTTGAGAGCCCCTGTTGATCAGAAGGAAATACTGCAGCAGAATGGTTCTTCATCTGTAAGGAAATCATTGAGAATACTTTTAAAGTTCACCCCGGATAAAAACAGCCATCCATTTTGAACTACGGACTGAGGAGCAACTTGTTTCTTCTATATCAGCCAACAAAAATGTCAAAGAAACAGCCAGCGGCTTGTGTAGTTACCCCTTATAGACAAACTCTGTTTAGCTTGGACACGGGAAATGAATATAGCAGTGGAGCTTTAATTTGCGAGGCTTTCAAGTATGCAATGCCCAGGGTATGATGGTCCACAGAGAACAAGCAGACCACCCAGAGCCCCTTAAATACACAAAACTGATCGCTGATGTTTTGTAACATTTGATGCAGTGCACCCTTTCCTCATGAAGGAGCGTGAGAACTGCTATGCTGACAGACTAACCTCCATTCAGAGATGGCTTATGCAAAGACACAGCCCATGATTCCCAGAGAAACAGGCGGCAGTGTTTCCCCTCCACCCTGCTGTCAGTGCTGACCATTTGCTCTAAGGCAGGGGCATCAAACATAAGGCCTGGGGGCCAGAACCAGTCCATCCAGGGCTCTTATGCGGCCTGAGAGCAACTAGTGTAAAGGGAGGGAACAGGAGACTGCTCGGGAGTGGGCAGAGCCACTCCTGACTGTGGCTCCAGCATGGTGGAACAACCTTGTCTGTAGCAGTCAGGCAGCATGGGAGCGTCTGCCCACTGCTGCATTGTTGGCTCTCCAGTCTGCCCATATGGGTTTTCCTTTGCACCCCCCTCCCAGCCCAGGGGCCTTGCAGTGAGGAAACATTAACTAAAAGCTTACCAGTTGCTGTCCTTTATAAAGTCAATGTCTCCGGTACCTGGCATTACGTTTATGGCACACATTGTCCAGCCCAACATAGTGACATTTATGTCATATTTGGCCCTCGTAACAAATGAGTTTGACACCTCTGCAAGTCTAAGGAGAAGTTATGCCTGCATTCAACACTTCCATGGCAGATCAGGCTCCTATTGCAGTCAACATTTCAGGGCCTATTTAGCTCTGTGCTAATTTTCCTCTTAGCAGGTTACAGACTGCAGCATCAGGCCCACTGTTCCCCCTTATACCCAAGCACTGCTTTCATTCTCAAGCTGCAGAATTTCTTCCCTTTCCCTCCATTCTGTCCTAATACTCTCATGGAACTGTTAAGTTCCCTGAAGGGACAGTCATAATATTTAAGGCAACTCATTAGGACAGACTGGCAATTCCATCGTCTTGAAAGAGTGAATTTATTTCCCTTCCTAAAAGCAGGAAGGACAAGAACTCTATAACTTACCTAGTCCAGCTCCCCCCCCCCAATTCTCATACACTCACAGACATAATTTCCTTGTTTTATTTCATTTAAAATCTGTTGAGTTAAATAGTTTAATTACAAGTTTTGTGCGGCAGACAAGAGTAATAAACCCTGCAGATACTAGCAACCCTCTCACTCAACAATACACGTGCACACTATTGTACTAAGGATATGTCCCCATGAACCAGCAGGCTTTGGGCTGAGAAAACAAGCCACAGCAATGGCCTAGTCCCAACCCTTATCATCAGCATACAATCAGGCCCAGTCACTGCAGACAGGAAGTTGATAGAGCCATCCACTGAGGATCAGATGGACACAGGACAGCTGCAGAGGGTTGCCACCTTCCCCAAATCTCCAGTCAATGTGAGAACCAAGTCCAATAGCTACAGGGGATGCCAATTCTGCCTTACCAGAGGTTAAAATACCAAAGAAAGCTTCATGGAGGAGAGCAAGACCTCTTTCTTCTACCTTCTTGCTCCTGAGAGTACAGTATAGCAGAAGACGGGGAGGAAGTCTCTTGAAAGCAATCCTAGAACTGCCTCTCGGCTAGTACTACCGGGAGTAGAAGATAGCTGAGGAGGGAGTAGCCCATGGGCAGCTGCCTCACCTCTGCTAAAGTTAAAAAAAAAAAAACCCGCCAGATGGCTGGAGTAAAGATTTACTCTCCATTGCTGGAAGTGTGTAAGAGCAGGCACTGCGACACAGTCACTTCAGTGGACCCCGGGCAAACTTTGCGGTGTGAGAGAGCTAGAGCCCCTTCAAGCTGAGTACAGACCCAGCAACCGGCTTTCCTCTCCTGGCACCCAGTCTTGGTGATAATGAATTCAAACAAAAATTCTGTGCAGCAGGAGCTTTAGAAGGGAAGCTCTAGCCAAGCAGCTTCAATCCCCAAGAATGTCAGGAGAAAGGTGAGTGAAAACAGTAGGCTATCCCAGAACAGCCTATAACAGCTACTTGTTTGCCCTGGTAAGAAAGTGACCCATCACCTGAATACACAGGAAAAGTGGATGGCACACTACCCTTGGGGTTTGTTTCAAAGCAACCTCTGCCACTGAGAGGAGGAGGCGGCGGCGGAGACTGGAATGAAGCCCTGCTGATTCCTGAATGTCCTCTGTTCTGTCTGCTGGTGCTGCATCCTCGCTCTGCTGGACGGGGTGGTGCTGCTGCTGCCCTCTACAGGTCAAGCAGCAGCACACGAGGATCCTCCACCACAGCCTTGATCTTACGCAGGAAAGTCACTGCCTCTCTCCCATCAATCAACCGGTGATCGTAGGTCAGGGCCACATACATCATTGGTCGCACTTCAGCCTAAGAGAGAGGGAAACGCCACCGTTAAACCCTTTCTTCTGCAGTCATCTTTTTAGACACAAACCAGACTGAGAGGATTTGGATTGCAACGCAACCTTGAATGTGGAGTCAGTCACGGATCCCCAGATGACAGATGTTAGGAATCCTCAGAATAAAGCCATCTGCTGCATTTGCATGCAGTTGCTAACACAGCTTCTGAAGAACCTTAGGAGGCCTCCGTTTTTTATTTATTAAAAACGCAACTCTAAGTTTCATCATTGCAGACACAGATCTGAAAATGGCTAGCAGCCTGGTCATGTTATGAGGAGGATAACTCACCAACAGTTTACTGGTGTTTTCTGTATTCATGGGCTGGGAGTTTTCACTAAAATAAGATGGGGAAAGGGAAGAGAAGCCTATCTTGTCTCTCTGCTCACCCACACATACCATGAAATTCTACTCCACTGTCCTAGAGGACTGGTTGCCGCCGCCCCCCCCACCCCGAGTAACCTTGGTGCTGCAAAAGTATTTTAGATTTTTTATTTAAACCTTGCCTTTGGTTAACATTTCAAACAAACTTCACACATTCCAGTTTCCATGTAATGGCCCTCACAGACGATCCCACAGACAACGGGATTGAGGCGGGTCTGCACCGCTCCTGCTGTTAGACCTCTCAGCTGAGTCTGACACGTTGACTATGATTTGTTGACCTACCACCGCACCACCACCGGATTACATGGGGCAGTCCTCCAATGGCTGTGCTCAATTCCCCAAGGTCAGGGACAGAGGGCGGCGCTAGGGGGCAGGGTCTCATCGTGGCGCCCATTGGTGTGTGGAGTCCCTCAAGGGGCAATCCTCTCCCCCAACGCTGTTTAATATCCACATGCACCTCTGGCCCAGCTAGTCAGGAGATTTGGGCTTGGGTGCCATCAGTATGCAGATGATGCCCAGCTATATCTGTTAATGGACAGCCAACTGGATACCGTCCCAGAAGACCTGGCCAACTGCCTGGAAGCTGTGGCGGGATGGCTAAAGCAGAGCTGCTTGAAGCTGAACCCATTGAAAACAGAGGTCCTGTGGCTAGGCTGGGTAGGTCCAGGTCGGGGACTTCAGCTTCCCACTCTTGATGGACCACAGCTAGTACCAGCTCCCTCCATCAAGAGTCTGGGTGTGAGCCTAGATGCCTTGTTGTCGTTGGAAACATCGGTCACAAATATGGCTAGGTTGGCATTTTTCCATCTTCATCAAGCCAGACAACTGATCCCTTACCTGTCCCATGCCAACCTGGCCACAGTGACCCATGCAACAATCACCTCTAGACTAGACTACTGTAACTTGCTGTATGCAGGGCTACTCTTGTACCTTCTCCAGAACTTCAACTGGTCCGGAACGCAGCTGCACAAGTCCTTACTGGGACCCCTCCTGAGAATGCACACACAACCTGTGCTCTATCGATCGCACCAGCTCCAGACTGAGTGCCGAATCAGGTTCAATGTTTTGGTGCTTACCTTTAAAAACCCTATAAACTGTCTGGGACCAATGTATCTATGGGACCACCTCACCATATACCTCCCAGGGGACGTTATGCTCTTCCAGAAATAACTTATTGGCTGTCCCAGGCCCCCAAGCTGTCCTCGACCAGGGCCAGGGCCTATTTGGCTCTGGCTCCAATCTGGTGGAACTCTGCCTAATGAGACTCGGGCCCCGCGTGACTTGGTTCAGTTCTGCAGGGCCTGCAAGACCGAGATGTTCCATCAGAGAGGCACATGGCTGAGGACAGTGGCGGCCAGTTGCGATCTGTTGGCCTCCCTCCCTCTCCTCTTTTCCCCTCTCTCTGGGCTGGCTACCCCCAGGTGTTTGCCTGGAATGGATACTATGGCGCCATCTGATACAGGAATGAACTTTTAGGGTTTAACTGATATAATATAGATTTTAAAATTGTAGAATGTTAAAATTTGTTGTCTTTTTGCTTGTTGGAAGCCACCCTGAGCCCTGCTTGCGGGGAATGCAGCAGGATACAAATTGAATAAATAAATAAACCTAAAAATCTAACAATTAATTTATCATTCTGTAGCACACCTTCACATCCTCCCATTGCACGCAGTTCAAAATCCTTTTGTGCTCTCCAGAGGAGAGTTCTGCAATAGTGTTTACAGGTAGTGGTCCTTTCCTACGGTACGTGGAAGGTCAAGATTAAAGGCACCTGACTTTTTAGTCTAGGCTAAGGGGTCCTATAAACATTACCCTTGCCAAAGGGGAAGAATTTTTTGGTGAGTGACTCCAAGATGGGTCAGGGTTACATTTAAGTGAACCCATCCACATGGGCAGAGGTTGACCATGCCGGGGTCTTCTGCATGACTGGGCCCTGCCTATATGGATGGCTCATTTAAAAGCTATCCCAGCTGTGAGGGAACCACTCAGGGAAAACCTGCGCTCACATAGCTCAAAGCAATGTTTACTGGGCCCTTAAGCCATTTGTGACCTTTCACATGGTACTTACTTTGCCTCCAATAGCAACAGGTCTATCAAAGATGCCATGCATGCCCAGGATAGCTGACTGAGGGGGGTTGATGATGGGTGTCCCAAAAAGGGATCCAAATACGCCACCATTACTGATGGTGAATGTGCCGCCATCCATATCCTCAATGGCAAGCTCATTTTTACGTGCCTGAAATCGGGGAAAAAAACATTCGTTGGAACACATGAAAGCATCGTGCAAGGGGAAAGGGATCAGGGAACAGAAAATAGGATGCTGGTTCCTAGTTGCCAACATGCCTAGCCAACTGATACTATGGACAGCTCTCACCACAACTGCTGAGACAAAAGGCAAATCACACCTGACTGGGTTGTGCAACACCTGCTGTGTTTTTGGCTTCTAAGAACTTGGAAGGGGGGAGAATGGGAGGGTCTGTGTTAAAGGAATATGGAGTAGGGCCGTGGTGCATGGTTGACTGTGCCTCTCACTGAACCCCCATCCCCATGAGATCCAGCAAGAGAAACAAAAAAGACAAGCAGAATACAAGTACCCCCCCCCGCCATGGTGCATTTTTTAATTAGGGAAATAGGAGGAAAGAGCTAGCTCTCCCAGCATCACCACCCCAGTCCATATCAGGCCATCTGCCAATCAATATAGTGTGAAACCCCAGTATCACAGGTGGATTCACCCCCAAGCATCATCTACCAATCTTCAGTGACTGGCAGAGATATTAAATGAAATTATGGGCACAGACCCTTAATAATTTCACGATTTACAAACATTACCCTCACAGTTAAGATAGCTATTACATTCTACATAGCCAGAACACACAGACAGAGGGCACTGTGAGTACTGTGTGTTTAGGGAGCCTAGGATTTCAGACTGTATGATAATGTGCCTTGACACACAGTACGTAGGTCAGCAACTCCATCGGTTGTCTTGTTTTGCCAGAACACAGACCAGTAAGCAGAAGAGGAACACGGGCACACTTACTTTAGCACCGTGGAAAGGTAGCATTCTGTAACCTCACCATCCCGCAGTACATAAAATGCATGCCAGGCAAAAATTAATGAATAGCTGTTTTCCCAACAGCTTCTCCTGTCTCCTGAAGAAGTCTTTTACACTCTGATACATGTGAACCTGTTTTGGTTTCATATCACAAGAAAAACTACCATGACCAAAAAACTGACAAATGCATCAAGCCACATTATATCTGTTAGTCTTTTAAGGTGTCACAATGCTCATTTTTGAAGCAATAGACTTATTCTGGAACCAATAAGTATCAAAATGGTTTTTGTCCTAGCAACTTGGCTTATGCGGCTTTCAAATGGGATTCATGGAGGTGAAGTCGAACAATGGATACTAGCCATAATGGTTCAATGCAACCTCCACATTCAGAGGCAGTGTATGTCTGAGCACCACATGTTAGGGATAGGGTAACTAGGGAAAGCTGTTGCCTTCATGCCCTGTACATGGGTTTCCTGGTTGACTACTCTTGGAAACAGGATGCTGGATGAGACGGGCCTTTTGTTTATTCCAGTAAGGCTCTAATTTTATGTTATATTGTTAGATGGTCTCCGGAGGTACAGACTACACAGGTGCATTGCCTTTCTTGTCATCAGACATTCTGCTCAAATCTTCGTACTGCCACTTCTTACCTGCTATCTTCTTAATGTGTCTTCTAGGAAACAGTAATTTCCCCTTCTATTTCATCCTAAGGAAGTTGCGAGTCCATTCCCACTCATAAGATTTCATCTCTCACCCCTGTAATTTACCTTCTCTCCCAGCTCACTGATGCTTCGTTCAATATCAGCAAAGTTCATTGTTTCTACATTCCTGATGACTGGCACCACGAGACCCTACAAGGAACAAAAATCTTAGATTCAAATGGAACAAATATCACAGTAGAGCAAAAACCAAGCAGAGCAAATCATCACCACTTAGAATAAGAAGAGACTGGAAGAGCCCAAAGAATCAGCATTACCAGTAAAATACTATGATATTGCTAGTCTACGAGAGACAGGCTGAAACAGTGACTTAGGGCCACAAGTGGTTATGATTTAATTTTTACAAGGCAAAATCCTGTGACAGGAACCCAGGAGGTTTCAACTTCACCTTAAGCAGCAGAAAGAATAGAACTGACCCCAGCTCACTTGCTTGGAGAAATATGACAACTTCACTGGCCAAAGCCTCCTTTGCTCTTTTTCCGGTATTAAGGAAATATAGCACACCAGATAGAGGTTCACTTCTCAATGCATTTTTCAGCCATTAGGAGCCCTGCTTCATATAGTATCTTTCTCCTGAAGACACCTTCCTCTAGACAATGGCTATGGGCCAGTACTGTAAATTAAGCAGTTACTGCTTGTGTTTTCTTTAATAATATGACTTTTAGAGGTACACAAAAGTTTTCCCAGTCCCCTATGGAGCTGTCCTTTCAGTCAGGAAAAGGATCCTTCCCACAGTTCAGCCTACTAGATCTATTGTTTGGGCACCCATCTGGCCCAGGAATGTTGCAGCTGGAACTGCACAGCAAGACAGGCTCATGTATGGTATGTGAACTTGTTTTTCACTCCACCAAAGAGCCAACCCTCACCTTTCCCTATTAAACTGAAAGGCAGGCTTGAATGGCCAAAAGGCAATCCCACAGAACATACCCTGGGAGTTGCAACGGCAACGCTGATATCCACATATTCCCTGTATACGATCTCTTTGGTTGTATCATCAATCACTACATTGAGAAAGAAGAGCAGACTATTACATAAAGAAGCTCCAGGAGCCAAGGTTCTACCCAGGAGGGCCCAAAATGATCCCTTTTGTTCAATGAAACTGAAAAGGGATGGGCAGGATTTTTAAAAATCTGGTTCGGTTTGGGGTGGCCCCTGAACTGAACCCCAAACTGAGCCAAAAGGCCCCCACCTGAACAGAGCCAGTCTGGGTGAAAGTGGGGGATTGCCCGGGAAGGGTTAAGTGGCTGACAGACATTTAACCCATCCATTTTGCTTCCCCCGTTTTGAAGCATGGGGGGAGCGAAACTGACAGGTTTAATGGCTTGCAGCCATTTCACAGGCTCATTTTGCTTCCTTCTGCCTCATTTAAACCTAGCAGACCTGCACCGCTAAGCTGTTAGGTTTAAAGGGTGTGAACACCCAAACTGAACTGGACAAAAGTCCAGTAAATGTTTGGGGAAGGTGCCTTCCCTGAACATTAGTTTGGGGGCGCCAAACCAGCCCAAGGTCGTGCTGAATTTTGGGTCATGAGCCAGTTTGTGCCTATCTCTAAAACTTGAGTGTGGGAGAAAACCAAACCTAATTTGCCCAAGCACAAAGAAATGTGAATGGTTAGAAAGTGGATTAAGATCTTCTAAGACTGCAAATAAATTTCATTTTAGTCTCTTTTCAGAGGCTGAATCTCTGGGACTGAACTGCTTTCACAGTATGGGAAATCTATATGAATATGGTGAAGTGTGCTTTAGTTCACAGTACAAGATTAGGGTTGGATCTGAAGTACCCTCCATCTACATTTGAAAACCCACCCGGTCAGAAAGGGCTTTTCCAGGTAAAAGCCGCTGTGCTGTGACCACTGCTGTTAATACAACCAAAAGTAGAGTGGAGACTCTTCATTGCACATCCCACTTAACTACCAAGTCTGAACCTCTTAAGTCCAATAGTACTCCATCTTTCTGTGTTATACCAATCACAGCTGCTGGCAAAATGTCAGGTCCTACAATGCCAAGACCACGGCCATACAGCACGGAAAATCTACAACAACTAATCCAATAGAACTCTCGTTCATTTCTGAAAGGTCTTCCTCTCAAGACAACGGGGCCATTCCTCTCACCTGCGTTTACAGTGGGCTGCTCTTGCAAGGCAAAGGCTGCAGCTTTCACAAAGGCAGACATAAAGCCAAGCTTCAGACTGTGCTTCTTCAGGAAGGTTTCTTTGTGCCGAGCTCGCATTTCCTGAATCATACTGAAAAAGCCACAGTAAGAATACTGACTATCACAGACACTACAAATACCAGGACGGAGGGGCAAGGTCCAGCTTCCCATATCTATATGCCTCATTTCTTTGACCATATTTAAAAAGCTAGGACACAGCATGAATTTTAGGGCTATGTCCTTTGAAGGATCTTTTGAAATACTCAACAGAGCAGAAAATAGCAGTTTCCATTATTCACTTATTTCAACAGAGACCAACCACACACTTTTTCTCTTGACAATTCTAGACAGAGATAGAAATGTTAACTTTTGGCTTCCACTGCCCAGACAGTATGGCTTTACAAAGGCCGTTTTTAGAGTCAGAGTGCCCCTTGGGGGCAGAGACTGTTTGTTTTCCTTTGTCTAATCTTGTTTAGAGCTAGGATTACCATCCAAAGACATTATTGCCTCCCAAGGCACAGGAGCTGCTGGAATGAAGTTGTGGTTTGAGAAGAGGAAGCCATCATGGGCAGCATCCATAGCAGACACTAATCTACCACCACCGCCTCCCTTGGGGAAGCAAAGGGCCTCGGCCTAGGTCCTTGCAAGACGCCTACGTGGCATATGGGCTGGTGGCAATCAATTGAAAACAAATTACTGGCTACAGCAAGAGCTTAAGGCCAGAGTAAAGCGACACCTCCATTAGCTTGCGAAAAGAGATAAGTTGCAGCACTTCCTCCCCAATCATGGCTGTTTTGCCAGCCTTATTATTTCAGACACAAAATATTTACATGTTTTGTCTTAAGAAGCAGGATAGGATTTCATGAGGCAATTTGATTTGGGAACCATTTCCCTTAATGCATTGAAACACAAGCTTCCCCCCTCCCCAAACCCATTAGGGCTCAGCCCATACAAACAGTTGGTTCGAAGAACGGTGGCTCACTCACTGTCGAACACAGACACAAGGTATATGTGGGGACTGGGTGAGAACTTCAGGACCATCTTTTGGTAAGCTGCACTACTGCTTAGCGCAGGGTTGTCAAACAGGGGGCCAGAACCGGCCTGTCCAGGGCTCTTATGCGGCCCACGAGCAAATGGTGCAAGGGAGGGAACGGAAAACTGCTCGGGGAGGGGAGTGGGTAGAGCCACTCCAATTGTGGCTTCAGAATGGCTGAACAAGCTCGTCTGTAGCAATGAAGCAGTGTGGGAGCGTCTGCCCAGTGCTGCATTGCTGGGTCTCCAGTCTGCCCATGTGGGTTTTCCTCTACACCCCCTCTCAGCCCATGGGGCCTTGCAATTCCGAGCTTACCAGCTGCTGTCCTTTATACAGTTTACATCCCTGGTACCTGGCATTACACTTCATGGCACACATGGCCTGGCCCAAGTGACATTTATGTCACATCTGGCCCTCATAACAAATGAGTTTGACACCTCGGGCTTATATTAACCACCAAGAGAGGACTATACAAGACAGTCTTTCACATCATAGCCAGGCTTTTTACCTCTACTAACTGGGAAACAAGTTCCACACAGACCTATACTTTGCTGTTGAACATTAACATAACTCTAGAGATGAAACTGGTGAGCTCAGTGAGGACCTCACCACTGTTGTGTACCTTATCACCCAAAGTTCCTGCTATTAGCGAATGCAACAGGTAGCAAAGTCAATTGGAGTCACAGGTCTTTACCTCATGTCAATTTCATTAAAGGTAGTCAGCATGGCACATGTATTCTGAGCCTCTTTCAAGCGCTGAGAGATACGCTGACGCATCCTGTTCATTTTCACCTGAAGGACAGAGAAAGATGATGGAAAAGGCATCATGCCTGGAACAATACAAAAGAAAGCAATGGAGACCACCTTTTCTTTCACAAAGTGAGACAGGTTGCCACACAAAGTAACACAGCAAATAAGTGATGTCAACATTTTCTCTGAGCAATGAACCCAGAAAGCTACCATACCATTTAGGTCAGCTAAAAGTTGTCATGTAAGTTTACCAACCTCCAGATGTTGCCTGAAACTCTCCCAGAATTATGACTAATCTCCAGTCTACAGAGATCAGTTCTCCAGGAGGAAATGGCAACTTCAGAGGGTGGACTCCGTGGCATACAGAGCTGCTTTCCCTCTCCAAACTCTGCATTTCCCAGGCTCTGCTCCCAAATCTCCTGACCCAGAGTTGTGAACTTTACTTGCAAGCCTAAAGAGTGTTCAGCTGAGAACATCAAACCAAATAATGCTGAAGGAATTCAAAATCAAACGTATAGACTTCAAAAGAAGTTCATGGGCTGGGACAACTGAGCAAGCTTGCAGCAGGAGTTGCAAAGCACACCACAGTTCCAACACTGAGAGTTCCAACTTGGTCACATAACCATGGGATTATGTTACTGACCACTGCTACTGCAGAAGACACCAAGAAGCAAATCCAGAGCTCATGAACCAAGATTTTGCCTGCATTCAGTCACTGCCTACTGGCCATGCATCACAACTTGACCGCGACATATTATGAGGATCTGGATGGAAGCTTTCTTTTCACTCTTCTCAGGCTAGAGATCCATCTCTCAAGTTTGCCCCAACCACAGGGTATTACTTCTGCACCACCATATTCAAGAAGAGAGAAGAGATATTGGATTTATACCCCTTCCTCCCCGTTCCCACCACCCTCTGCCGGCAGCTCAGAAAAGCCTCCAATTACCCTCTGCTCCGATCTGGCACCTTTGCCGGCCCCAGGTTCCACAGCAGGAGCACCCGGTGGAGCTGCAGATGGCTTTACTGCAGACACTGAAAGTAAATGAAAAAAGGTGTCAAGGGCTTGAGAAAATAGGGTTCATGTGCCAGCAAGTGAGATTAAGGCTAAAGCCAATCTGAGGAGGAGCTGGAAGAATGTTTTGGGATGCCTGAAGCTCATACAGCCAGAGAGAAGCTGCCGAACCAGCACACATGGTTCCTTCTGCTGCCTTGTGCTCAGATTCTCTAGTTAGTAATACAGATAGGAGCGAGTAACTGAGGAAGACTCAAAGCTGTTAGGACCAATATTCCCTCTAAGCTATGGAGTCCTGTGAGCAAAAATTCTACTTTGTGAGCTACTGGCCTTAAAGTTGTGAGCAAGTGATTTGGCTACTGCATAAATTAGTTTGCTCGGGAGCTGTCCTTCCTGAGCGAAAACAAAAATGTGTGAGCCAGAAGCTAAAAAACTCTGAGCTAGCTCACACTAACTCAGCTTAGAGGGAACAGCTGTTAGGACTCACCTGGTTTAGCATAAATAGGCTGTGTCGACACAGGGGGCACTGGAGGCATCGTAGTGGGGACTGGTGCTGCAGGGGGAGGTGCAGCAGCAGGGGCTGCAGCCACCGCAGGTTCTGGGGCAGGGGTTGAAGGAGCTGCTGCTTGTTTTGCCTTAGCAGGTGCAGCTGAAAGACAGAAAACAAGTCAGTTACAAATGCAAGTAGAAACCAAAGGCACATTCAGATCATTGGAGCAGGCTGTAACAAAGCCCTCCTTCTGAGCCAAAATTATTCATATTAATATAAAATTACAGGATTACTGGCTAGTACCCCAAAATGGTATGTACACAGAGGTGGCAGGTAAATCCTCCATTGTAAGTTAGGTTCCTTTTACCCTACTTAGATCTGAGTTTCTAGTGATACAGCCCAGTTACAGAATCTGGATCACTGCAGATTTTTCTTTATTACAGAATCCATTATGACCTGATTTAAAACATCTGTTAGTATCTCAATCTCTTGCAGTCCCAACAGATGGCATAAAAAAATGTCCCGTTTAATTGGATGCTTCTGATTTACCTCCGCTTTTCCTGAGTTTGAACAGGGGTGTTCCTCCTTCTACTTTCCCCCCATCAGGGACCAGAAGTGCTTCAATTACACCAGCTGTTGGAGCTGGAACCTGCACAGATGTCTGCAGATGGAAGGCAAATGAATTCTCCACTCAACATGGGAAGGATATAAGTATGAAAATAGGACACTAGCCCTTGAACAAGAATGAATGGCATGTTAAACTGTTCGCTGAAGACAAAGCAGGAAAACGTCGTGCATGTACCTACATATTTCCAACCAACTCTAATTCATCACATGAAGGAATGGGACACAAAAATAGTTAAGGGCTATTCACAGGTCCAGAACCTGTGAAGGAGGACAGTTGGCACAACATATAACAATTTTTCCAGTACAAAAAAGGATTTACTGTCAATCTGTGAATGATGGAGGGCATGCTAGCTCCCAGCAGGTTCAAGAGAAAGCAAGAGTGTTTACTGTTATCAAAGAGTGCTAAACTGTTTGGAGTCATTTGACTGCCTTGGCCTATGTTTTGTGACCATTAATGTTTGCCCCATGCTGGGGAACACAAAGTAATAGATAAGCAGGACATTTACCTTGTCTGTTTCTATCTCACATACCACTTCATCTTCTGCTACTGTGTCTCCCACAGCTAAACAGTAAAAAACAAACAACAACAATGAGCACGGGAGCAGAGTTTCACCATTTCTCTCCACCCACAGCGGTGCTTCAAAGCAGCCCTAAATTCTTTCAGTGTGAACCTTTAAGATCATAACGATAACAATGTAAGATCATAACAAGACCTTAACAATGGACTGTACACACATACCTTGGGGGCTGAGAGTCCCTTTATAGGCCACTGCCCATGTTATAACTAATATGCTTGGGGCAATTTATAACATATAGAATAAAAGTATCCACTGCTTTTCCCAATCAGGACTTGAGGGTTCCCACAGAGACTAAAAATAGAGTACCCAGAGTGAAGAAGCAGGCTCTTACCTTTCTCCCACCTGACATCTCCTTCTGTGACTGATTCTGCAAATGCTGGTGTGTTCACGGTAACAACGTCTTCCCCTGCAGAAGATACAAACATATTTGGGGTGGAACAGGAGTTTAAGTTCTTCCCTTTCTGGCTCTGGAACATATGGACCATTACGAGAAAGGGATGTCCATGGAAGAATCACAAAGTAAAGGCAGATGCTAACTTAAATAACCCCAGTATTGCTGCTCTCTCATGCCTTAGAATCCCCTCCTAGTACACCTACATTGTACCACTGTTCCCTTTGTTCACCCCTTTCACGAAGCCTTTGGCTTAGCAACTTAGTTCTCACTGCAGTTGAAACAAAGCATAAATATACATAATTATTTGAGCATATTCAGCCTGTTTCTCTCTTTTTCCTCCAATGTCTCCTGCATTCTCAAGGTTTATACTGAAAGCTCGTCACAGGAGGGAACATTTTTATGCTTTTTATTCTACAAGGTATCATGCATGCTGATGGTGTAACAATAATAATAAAAATATAAATCTGAAACACAGGAAAGTTCATAAAATGCTAAAGCCCAGCCCAAGTATTATGCTGCCAAGCGGGGGGGAAACAGCAGTCTGCCAGTTATTTCTTTGTTTTTCTTATTTATTTATTTTTTTATATCTTCGATTTGTATACCGCCCTTTACCCGAGGGTCTCTGCGCGGTTTACAGGTATATGGCCTAAGTGCCTAATTAGTTCCTATCCTAGGGCCACAATTTGACTGGGGGAGGGGCTACCTATCGACACCCGAGCGGCGCGATCCTGTTGTATTCCACGGGCGGGCTTCCGTTGTTTCTTCCTGGCACCTTAGGACTCTCAGTCTTTCCCAGGTGCTCAGGGTTCCTTACTTTTACCCTCGGAGCAACACTCTGAGGAAGGGAGGCCGAGACACTGCAAACGGCGAAAACCCTGAGGCTAAATGGGGATGTGAACCTGGGCCTCTTTTGTTCCCCAACACCAACCGGTATTCCACACTGGCAAATGAGGAACAATATGACAGAAATACATGTTGAGTGTCGGATCCAAAGTACTTGAAGCAGAACAGAACTTTCCTTCTTCCTCCACTGCAGCCCACAGTGCCCTCTGAAAAGATGCACCCACAGTTCAGGGCACCCCTAAGAACCACACTGGGCTCAATGTGGGACCTGCAGTGGGAGGGAAGAACTGTTGAAAACTGTCCTCCCCCCAATGTTGCATCCACCCCCTCAGTCTCATATTACCACTGAACAACAGTTTAGACCAAGAATGTGGAGGCGAGTTTACTTGGGGTGCAAGACTACATATACTTAAGCAGGAACTGAATCTGCAGTCTTCCTCTACTGGAAGCAGGCTTTTCAACTACTTACTGCATGCTGCGGTGGTTCTGAAATAACGGACAGTGAAGACACGAGAGCCATTTACTCTGGGGAGCAAGAAAGAAGGATTAATTTACCACTTGCAGGAAGCTTGTTAGTAGTGCAGATTTTGCACCTGCTTGTCTTGATTTGCTGGATTACTAATGAACCACCCTCACAGTATGTTTAGCTTGCTTATGACAGCACATGGGTTTATGCGTTGTACCATAAGGACCCCAATTCACAGAGCCTAATTTCAGGCACTCAACAATCCAAGGAGAATATATTTCTGAAATTATCCTGGCTAGGCACCCAAGTGACTGAAAGACCATAGGTTTGGGAGATTCAGAATGTAACTGAGCCAGCTTTAAAACCAAAACCAGACTTGCAGCTACTATATTTATGATCATTCACTTTTAAGAACAGCACCACAGGGAATCTCAGTCACTCAGTTCAGATAAACTCTCCTCATTTACCCATACGCAGAAGGGGCAATGACTGAGATCAAGCGAGAGCATTTCAAATGGACAGTAAACATGACTATTTTAGCTGTACCATAGAGAGCTGCAGTACCAAATTTCCCAATGGGGCTGGTCACCGCACAAAAAGCAACCAGCTAACACTACCCCAGTGTTCCATCTTTCCCTGTCATTGTCACACATGAACACACATGAAGCTGCCTTGGTCAGACCATTGGTACATCAAGTTCAGTATTGTCCATTAAGACTGGCAGTAGCTCTCCAGGGTCTCAGGCAGACATCTTATACATCACCTGCTATCTTCTAACAGGAGATGCTGGGGATTGAACCTGGGACCTTCTGCATGCCAAGCAGATGCTCTGCCACTGTGCCATGGTCCCTCTCTCCCTCATCTGCTGTATCACCTGAAACTCCTACAACTCATGTCGCTCCTCCAGAAATTAAATTGCATTTCTGCAGAGAGCCCCCACTAACTTCTACAGATATATAGAAAGAGCACAAAGTAGGTGACAGTCCCTTTTCACCCCTTCGCCTTCCTCATTCTTGTATTTTCATATGGCAGTAAATCAGTGAGATGGAGCATTCTGAGGAGATGCCTAACATTAAACCTGCAGGGCCCTCTCAGGCTATGGAATCCCAGGTTATATTTTGCCGTGCTGGTGGTCATGTCTGAAAGTCAGTTTATTTGGGGGCAAGATTTTGAGACATATGGAATTAATTGCACATTATAATGTCCCTTATGACTCCTTATTTTATTAGAAAATACTGATACACAAAACATCCCAATCTTGAAAATGGAACAGATTTTACTTCTACTACTGGTAGAAAAATTCTGTCTGTCTCATACTGGGGAAAATCTTATGTGCCTCCCTTTGGGTGCTGATACGAAAAAGTATGAAATCTCTTAATCATAGATAAGGTGCCCTTTCAACTTATTCCACTAATTTTCTAAATAGATGGCTGCCCCTTTTAAGAATACATGGAGACAAGTGTACTGTGAAGTAGGAGATGCCCATGAAAATATCATGTGATCTGTATTTATTAAGCACTTCTAACTGAACACAGGCTAGCCTGATCCCATCAGACCTTGGAAGCTAACCGGCTAATATTTGGTTGGGGACCACAAAGGAATACCAGGGTTGTAACACAGAGGCAGGCAATGAGAAACCACTTCTGAACATCTGTTGCCTTGAAAACCCTATGGGGTTGCTCTAATTCAAGCTGTGACATGACAGCAAAAACCAACAACGTATGACATGGTTACTCTAAAAAGCATTAATGTGATCAGCTACTGGAAACATATTGGTTGTACTATTATACTTAACCTGTTACTGTTGAAATTTTTGTTCTATGATGAAAAATGAAGAATTATTTTAAAAACCTGCAGAGCCCTCATTTCAAGAAGGCCTTAACTTGGAGATACGTCTGTCAGCATTCATGTGATTTTATGATCAAATAAGTGTGGAAACTTGTAACGGGTACAGAATTTAGCAGCCTGAGAATCTCAGATTTTGTTAGAAAACCACAAGCGACTAGTCCTTACAGCTATGGTGACTGGAAGTGGGAGACCTCAAAAGATGAAGGGGGACTAAACACGACTGGTTGGGGCCTTCAGTGTCCTCAGTATCCTACCCTTTCCATGAGTAGCTAAATTAAGAAGATACATTTATTTAATTCATATAATTTGTAGAATTCAATGATTCAGCTACTATTGGCATGATAACTATAACTATGTTAAACATACTTGCCTGGTGAATTACAGATTGAGACTGTAGGAATCCTTTCCCCACCTTAACATGGTGTAGTAATTTAACTGACTTCATAAATTGCATACTTACAAATGCTTCCTGCTGTTGGCATAAACTGGTCCTTGGCATTGAGAAATACCTGTAAAGCAGAAACCACTTCAGCTAAAATCTGGCAGGCCCAGGTAACAAGGGACTCAGAACAGTTATAAACCCTGCCAAAAATGGCATGAGACAGTTGCAGAAAATCACTGCACAAATGCAGAATCTATACGTTTTCTTACTATTAGGAAAATCTCCGTGAATGTTCTTATTTTCAGTGATGTTGGTTTTCTGGAAGCATTTGAATTGGAAAATTTGCTAGCATCCTAAACAAAGCATGATCTGCTCTAGCATGTTTATTTCAACAAGTTTAAAAGAAGAAGTGGAAACTGGATTTATACCCCGCCCTTCAGTCAGAGTCTCAGAGCAGCTTACAATCTCCTTTCCCTTTTCCTCCCCACAACAGACACCCTGTAAAGTAGGTGGGGCTGAGAGAACTCTCTCAAGAACTGCCCTTGAGAGAACAGCTCTGAAAGAACTTATGACTGACCCAAGGTCATACCAGCAGCTTCATGTGGAGGAGTGGGGAATTAAACCCGGTTCTCCCAGATTAGAGTCCGCACTCCTAACCACTACACCAAACTGGCTCTCTGGATGCAGTAGTGAACACAATTTAAAGAGTACTCCCATGTTAATTTTATGACGCAATAGGAACAAATATTTCAACTAAAGTGTCTGGTCGGGGAAGGAAATTAAGTGTGGTTTAATAGTTACATAAACCCAAATCTTTATGTGGAAATTATTTCTATTGAAAGAATTCTTTAAAAGTCTAAAGAGATAGAGTACGTACTTCCCTTATATTGTTCAATTTAAGAAAATATGCTAAACCCACTCAAAACTGTCAATGCAATAAGTTTAGCACATCCACAGAACTGTACATGATACGTTGTAGATGTAGTAGTCCACTTAACTGTTCCAACTAAATTTAACTCTTCCATGGAGGTCACTGGGGCACCTCAGTTTCACTGTTATTTTCTGTGGCGTCACTTTCATTATTTCTTAACTCCATATCAGGTTGGTGATTACAATATCCCCTTTTATCATGCAATAAGAGACATAAATAAGAAATGTAGAGTTGGCTTGGATTTAAACTGCATAAACAATCAGGAGAACTAGTAACTTGATTTTTAAGATTTGGGTTGTTACATTTATCTGTAGGTTTATCCCACCCACTAACTCCCAGGCTCAGCCATAAGTAAGACAGAGTTGTACTCATTCACACATTTTCCAGGGATAATCATTTAGAAACATTAATTACAGCCTTGAAACTGACAAATTACTTAATATTGTATTGGCAGTTGCAGCCCCTTATTTTATGGAACAATGAATATTTAGACTTTTATCACAGAAACACAGCACTGGGGAAAAATCTGGAAAATTTCTGCAAAAAAATTCTGTTCTGCATCTCAGCATGTGTTTTTATAATTAATAAGCCACCCTCGAGTCAGACTGGCAAGTTTAACAGCCAGCATGAAAGGCTGTTTTCCAGGACAGGAATTTTATGTTGCGAGCGGCTCAAAAGGTTTCCTGTTCAGTTGGCGAAGAACCAGGGGAAGGTCCCAGGGGACGACAGGACTTTTGATGGGAGGGTAAAGGTGCAACAGTCCCTTCAAAAAACGTTTAGAAAGTGGATGCGAGAACAGTGTGCATCCCTCAAACTGAACATGGTATGCCGAAAGTGCGGCCAAATAAACCCTTAACGAGGAATGTGATAGTCCCAAGGCAGCGAGAGACAGGAGGAATTCGAAAACTTTCTCGAGACCTGCGGAGGTGGCTCAAGGGGCATCCTCACCCAAGGAGGAACAAAATTTTTGCCACTTGTAATGATACGATTTTCGCGTAGTGGACTTTCTAGAGTTTAGCAAGACATTTGCTATGTGGGCGGAAAACCTGTTGACGCCACTCTCCAGGCTGTCAACTTCATTCGTGGCACGTCGTGGTATAGGAGAGGGGACTCGGTTAGGAACAGGAGGTCTTGTGCTGGAGGAAATTGGTGGTAGACCCCCGCTGACAGATCCAGGATGGTTGAGAACCATGGTTGCCTTGGCCACCACGGGGTTATGAGGATGCAGCCCGCTCTGTCGCTGATGATTTTGTGGACCACTCTCAGAAGCAGATAAACCAGAGTTGCAGGTGTCGCATTTTTAATTTGGCAAAAGCCAGGACTGATGTAGTAGCGGCCATGAGGCCAAGTAGCCTTTGTATTTGGAAGGCCATCACTGAAGGCCGAGAACGCATGACAGTGGCTAGGCTCTGTTTTGTGGCAGGTAGGCTGTGCAATTAGTGGAGTACAGTAGCGCACCGATGTAGTGTATTTTCTGGACCGGTTGAAGCTGAGACTTCTCCAGATTTACTTGCAGACCCAAGTTTCCCAGGAGGGCTAGCGTCTCGTTGATGTTTGAGGCTAGGGCGTCCCTGGAAGTTGCAACCAAGAGCCAATCGTCGATGTATGGGGTAGATGGAGATACCCTTGAGACGAAGGAAGGCCGCGACCACCACCATCGTCTTTGTGAAGACTCTCGGTGCATTCGAAAGGCCGAATGGCAGGGCGGCATATTGGTAGTGATGTTGACCAATTGCGAAGCGTAGGTATTGGCGGTGGGATGAGTGGATGGTGAGGTGGAAGTACGCGTCTTGGAGGTCGAGGGTGGCCATCCAGACGTTCTTCTGGAGAAGTGGCAGAATCTGCTGCAAGGACACCATGCGGAAGCGGTGGTAGCTCACAAAGCAGTTTAGCACCCGTAGATCTAAGATTGGTCGAACGCCTCCATCCCGCTTTGGAACGGTGAAATAGTGGGAATAGAATCCCTTGCCCTGTAGATGCAGTGGCACCGGCTCGATGGCTCCCTTCTGCAGAAGGATGGATACTTCTTCCAGGAGGGCTGGAGAAGGGGGTGTGGAGACGAAGACAGGAGTAATGGGGTTCTG